CACAAGTGCATGAAAGTGTGTATTAAAAAAAAAATAGAGTATCTAGGGGATTAATAAAGTCTTCTTCCAATTCTGGCGTTGCTGTGGACACCGATGAGGTCTTTTCACTAAATACAGGCTGTAATTTCTCAATGAAAACACGAACTGAGCTCGACTGACGGTGCTTTTACCTGCTTTTTTCCGCTTTACCCGATGCCTCTGATGTTTACAGCCGTGCTGGAGAATACATGTAGTGTGTGTGTGGAGACAGGAGACACCCCAGAATGATACATAATAAACAAATGGCACGATAGACTTGACTGTCTGTGCAGTAGTCCGGACAATTCAAGATACCGTCAGCAAGTCTTTTGCACATTTAGTCATCACCGTGCACAAGACGGTTTTGGCAACAAGGGAAAAAAAAAAAAAACAACGTTGCCTCAGAAACCGTGACATCGGCTATAGTGGAGCGGGACGTCGGTGTGAGGGGCGCCGGGAGCGGAGCGGTGTCGGTTTCCATACCCGGACTGGTGGACGACGGTATGGCTGCAGGAAAGGGAGCTGGGAAACCCGCCTCGCCGTGGGACAGTATGCGGATACGGTTCATCGTTTGCTTCCTCGGAGTCTTTGTGTGTTATTTTTATTACGGAATCTTACAAGAGACCATGTAAGTAATAGTTACCGGCTTAGTTTTCTAGTTTTTTTTTTTTCTGTGCCAAATTCCATTAAAAAAATCGCCGGTTTAATGTTGGCTTGCATGTCGAGAGTTTCCCAATAAATATGAGTTTTATGTGAACTTGATATAGCTTTAGGTAATGCACAACAAAGTACACAATGTGCTAGTGTATTCATGTATTTCGTTATGTGTATTGCATGTGAGCTACTACAGGGTTGCCTGTACGAATACTAAAGAAACATCTGACATTAAATCATCAGGTTTTTGAGTGGAGTTCTGACATTCTGTTCATATTAGAAAATGCCCATATACCCTTAAGCAGGTGGTCTCTATTCCCAGTTTACTAAAACTACCGTGTCCTTCATAGATGGGGTAATTATTTTGTTATCTTAACATGTAACTGTAAAAAACAAATATCCAGTCATAAAGGTTTTTTATTTGTGGTTCTCTAGATAGAGTAAATGAAGCAAGCCTCTATGGCATATCAAATACTGAGGCGTGACTCAGATGGTATGTTGTTGGGGTGACGGTGATCATATCTGGTTTCAAAATGATTACTCAAAACTTGTGTCTCCTAAGCAGTTCTTTCACAAAACTTCCATTTCCTTTCATTATAAGATTAATTTTTTTAGATAAACAATACTGACATTACTGTCTTGGTGATTATTGACCGTTGACACTATTATAAGCAATAGTCTTATAATATTCTTGGTCCTCTAACGAAATGTCACCACTACCTCCCCTTCCTGTCAGTTGTAATTTAATGCATTGTGGCCTCTACTTTCGGAGGGGCCTTTTCATAGCTTGGAGACCCATGAAAGCGCTCCACTCCACACCCATGCACCTGCCAGCCAGGCCGTTATAAACTACTTCAGTTTCAGATTAATTGTCTGTGACATTTTGTACTCAACACAGTGTTGTTTGTCTGACTTTTTTTCAGAACCCGGGGGGATTATGGTCAGGGAGACAAAAAGGAGAAGTTCAGGTTCGCCCGGACATTGGTCTTAATCCAGTGCATTATCAGTGCTCTGTTTGCTAAGATCTGTGAGTATCTGCTCTACAAAACATACACACACATTAATAAAAGGTGTTAATACAGTAAAGCATCCAAAATGTGTTTCTGAAGTTGTGAAACTGCCAGGCAATCTTTCAAGAAGGAAGGAAGTGTTTTGAATTTTATCAGCGTATCCGTGTTTTACTTATACATTTGCATTGCAGATGTACATTTAGTCAAGTTCCTGTTATTACAATCTTGTAAATCTATGATACTATGGCTTGTTGTTGCCTCTTGAAGAATAATCTTCCTCTTTATCATCAGTGATCCAGTTTTTTGAGGGCTCCAAGCCGGACCACACCAAGAGCTGGCTCTATGGTCTGTGTTCCCTTTCTTATCTTGGAGCCATGGTGTCCAGTAACTCTGCCCTTCAGTATGTCAACTACCCCACACAGGTGAGTCTGTGCTTTTAGAGGAAGGCAAAGCTAGTTGGTAAACATGATTCTTTTGGATTCATTAATGCTGGGTGCTATCGTATCCTTAAGTTATGTTTCTGTTCTGATAGGTGTTGGGAAAATCCTGCAAGCCCATACCAGGTAAGTCTGATAATATCACTATTAGTTAGCCTTCTGCTCTCTGTCTACATATCACTGAGATACCTGCAGATCACATACATAATATGATTTTACCAGCTGGTAACATGTATAATGACAATGCCTGAATATTTGTGGTTATATACAATATGCTACAAAATCTTAAAAAGAAAAAAAAGAGTTAGTAAAAACACTCAAGTAATAATCAGGTGCAGTCCAATACATCTCATGTCCAGTGCAAATACAAAGTACAAAAACATCAGTATAACAGTTATTAACTAACTTTCTATTAACTATCAAACACATGTGGCTCTTGGTGAAAAAGGCAGGTTACAGTATGTTCTGTTTGTACATGAAGATTATTTCTCGCCCCTCAAAGCTTGGTTATCTTTTGTTACACATACAGAAACACACACACACACTCTTTCACCATTCATATTTTCCACTTTCAAGGGTGAAGGCCTGACACTGTTTCCGGGTTAAAAACCATCCATCATACTGTTGTTGTGTTGTTGCAGTGATGATTCTCGGTGTGACGATACTGAGGAAGAAGTATCCATTGGCTAAGTACCTGTGTGTGCTGCTTATCGTGAGCGGTGTAGCTCTGTTCCTCTACAAACCCAACAAGAGCTCAGCTGTTGCGGAGGACCATGTTTTTGGGTTCGGAGAGATTCTGTTGGTGAGTTGATAAAGCTTCAAGTTTCATTAATTCCATTTATTTCCCTTTTATTGCCATGATGATTGCAGATATATCTGTCTCTCCCTACTGTAGACATGGTTACTGTGACATTTCATGGGTTAGCTGTGTGTTTTGCTGTATCATAGCTGGTGTCCCTCACATTGGACGGCTTGACTGGTGTGGCCCAGGACCATATGAGAAGTCGCTTCCAGACGAGTGCCAACCACATGATGCTGAACATCAACATGTGGTCCACTCTGGTGCTAGGACTAGGTGAGTTAGCCGTGCTCTCTGCCAAACTCTTGTCTAACTGAACATCTGTCTTGAAGTGCCAGGACCACCAAACTACATCAGGCCGTTTCACTGACTGGCACACCTGCAGCCTGAGAGGAGAGACTAATGAGCAAAATCACCTTGATACAGTTCAGTACTGCCAAAATATAGCAGACTGAAAAACTGATGTAGTGAATGTCCTTCTGCAAAGCTCTCTAAATAATATATTATTTATATTATATAATTAAATATTTGTTGGTACATTCATGGCTATTTGTTACCGTGTTATATTTTAAACTAATTTATACACATCACTACATAACATCTTAAAGATTAAGTCTTTGCATTAAAGTGCTGTAGTGTTTGTATATCCTGGCACACACACACACATGCACATATATTGTGTTTACATTGCTCACAGTGCCACATTATATAGGATACTTGGGTATTCTGCAGTTTTGCACATGTACTGTTAAAATATTTAATTTACAGGTACATTTCTGCTCACTAAAAATCTGAAAAGCTCTAAAATAATCTGACCTGAAGACTGAGGTCAGACTTAAAATCAAGTCGAGGTCTTTTGTTAGCATGCTGGTCTCATTGAGCTGCTTGTCCAGTCAACAGTATAGCAATATATCATATCGCTTTAAAGGTCCAGTGTGTAACATTTAGAAGGATCTGTGTGCAGAAATGGAATATAATATTCATAGGAATGTCGAATGTGTAAAATCACCTAGTTTTTATTAGCTTACTTTAGCCGTTTTTATCTGCAGAGGGAGTTTGTCTTTCTTCTAGGGTCATTTAGTATTAACAGCTGAATTATATAATTGCTGTTGGTGTAATGTATTCTTAAAACGTAATGTCATAATTAGTTGTGTTTTTTTTTTTTTTTTTATCATCACAATGAATTCTTTTCTGGACCTAAGAATGAATAGCTGCTGTGATGCAGTAGCTAATGGCAGTCTGAATAAGAACAAGAAAAAAACAATAAGAACTGCATTAGAGTCTCTTTAAGAAAAGGTGAACACAATTCTCTCAGGAGCCAAAAACTCATTAATTCAGTCGAAGCAAAGTGTTCAGCGTTATCTTTATAGATAAGGAATCATGCACCTCAAAGCCCTCAGTTCTGTGAGGAGGTTGCTATAATATGCTGAAGAGGGAGGCACATAAAACAAATGCAATATAACGAGGGGCTTTCTAAGGTTAGGCACTAATGGGCTGTAAGATAAAGATCAAAAGGTCAAAGTCAGTATGAGAACGGAGAGACTGTTATCATTCTTATAACAAACTAATTGGCAGTGCCTCCTGCCTCCTGTCTCCTAGTAAGTGCCCATCTCTGCTGCACATCAGCTTGCCACTTCCATAGGCCTTATTAAATTTTAAAAATGACTTTTCTTCCCTTTTAAAAGTGATAAATTCAGTTCCAGGCTGCATTAAAATGCCTTCTGATGTCCTCAATTTTAGTTTGTGAAAACTGCACGTACCTAAGCCTTTGATAGCTTTGAAGTGCTGATATTTCCCAAGATGCAAAGGTATTCTTATACCTCCACTCCCACAGATTCATGCCACCCCCACAGGCTTCATATAATTGCTGTTACCGTAACGTACCACTTGGTGGTGCCGAATGCCCACTCTGTGAACACTGGGATCTGATTTTCTCTGCCACCGATGTGCAGAAATATGTGACATGTTTAATTACTGAGTTGTTTTTGAAATTACATGTATGTTATTTTCCTTTTTATATTAACATGTTCTTCCTCTCTGCTCTCAGCGGTATTGTGGACAGGAGAGGTGTGGGAATTCCTAAGTTTTACTGAACGCCATCCAAACATCATCTACAATATTCTTCTGTTTGGTGTGACCAGTGCTTTAGGACAGGTGGGTTGATGGATAAAACGAGTGTCTATGTGTAGGCTGATGTTCGGTTGCTGCTGTTCTGTCGGTGCGAAGAAAAGAAATCCTTTGCTTTCATAAAAGTTTTGGAATGAATGCTTACAGATGACAAGCTTCCTGACTGTGTATATTTAAACTACACTCCTTAACGTGTTTTTAAAATTCCTTTACCAGACCTTCATCTTTATGACCGTGGTGTATTTTGGGCCTCTGACTTGCTCCATTGTCACCACTACAAGGAAGTTCTTCACCATCCTCGGCTCTGTTATTCTGTTTGGCAACGTCATGAGTACGATGCAGTGGGTCGGCACCATCCTGGTGTTTCTCGGTGAGAGTCCAATCTGGTTTAACACTCTGTTGCCCTCCCTGGATTTATTGTCAGTGTCTGTCACTCTGGCTCTTCCCCCTGCCATTACATAAAGATATCACTTTTTTCCAGTGTAAAACTGATGACTATAACACTAGCTAAATGTTTGCAATAACATGGTAGAAGCCTTCAACTGTAGCCTAAGACTGTAAACTGTGTGTGTTTGTTATAACAAACATTTAAGTCTAATTGGGGAATAGTGGCACAACCCACTTGGTAAATGCTTATATTTTTAAATGTTTTTATTGGTTAAATTGGTAATTCTGTTGGTTAAATCCAGAGTGTAAAGTGATTTCTGTTCAGCTGCTGAGGCTTTCTCTTGTTCCTCAATCACATCTTTGGTTCTCTCACTTTAGGTCTCGGATTCGATGCTAAATTTGGCAAAACCCCCAAGAAGACGACACACTAAAACATCTGGAGCACATGAGAGAAAGACAGAAACATTGCACATCAAATGGAAACACTCTAAAGCCAGTATCCTAGTTTCATAAGACATCATGTACAGGCATACAGTATGTGCCTATTATTTGTTTAAGTATGGTTTAGATTTTCTGTGTTTAATCAGAAAGTTCTTGTAGTTTTCAACCCCAGCTTCTGTTGTGTGGTGAAGAGACGTGTTTTACTTGGGATCAAGTCCTGAATGAACTGTGATAAGTCATTTACATCTTTTTCTTTTTACCACAAGATACCACACTGGTGGATGGATTTGGACTGGCTGAAAGACACAAGTGGAAAATACTATATTTAGACAAATAGTTTTTTCTGAAACCAGCTCACCTCCCTAAGATGGATATTGAACCAAACAAGGCCTAAGACATTTTTTAACATTAACTTACCACCAAATAAGGCTTGGTTTACAAATCATTGCTTGAATATGTGTAATCACATGTATGTCCATGTCTGAAATACAAACATTTGTATGTCGCCTGTTGTGTTATGTCCAATCTTATCGTTAAATTGTTTTTACTTTTATTTTCTACAAGTTGAAAATAACTTGCCATAAAAGGGAAATTGTGATATAATATGGTGATTTTCTTTTTATTCCACTGACTTCACTTGATTAGTTAACATCCGTTAGTTGAGATACTCTCTGATTGGATGCTGCTTGCTGGAAATGGCTGTAAAATATCCAACAAACCCTTATTGTTCAACATCAATCATTTCCACCAGCAATTTATGTGTCTGTTAGCCAAATTAAAAAGTATATTACCAATTGTGTGTTTTACCACTTATCACTTCATTCTTAAGAAATTCTGTCTACTGATATTGAGAAAGTTTTGTATTTTTGAGCAGAAAAAACAAACAAATAAAAGCATTCAAACACATTTTGATAGTAGGAAAGCACATTGGATTTATAAAGTTAATATCTGTTATCAGCAGCATGTAACAACACCAAACTCCTAAATATGAGGCACCTTAAATCGATATTTTAAGTGTAAAACGGAGAAAACCAGTTCCAAAACGTGGAATAGTGGTTATAATTTAGGACACAGCTCCATAAACCTGAATATTAACATACTGACTTAAAAATAAATGTGTTTTCTCTCTAGTCTGATGGGAGGAAACAGCGCTCCCTGCTGTCATATTGTGATCCATACAGTTCTGTTATCTCCATCCTGTCACTGACATCAATGAATACATCGATTTATTTATTTATTTCATTAAATTGTGGCATTTTACCCCTCTAATGAGAACTAAACTAATATAACATGAGGTTGTTAATACCACAACTTTGTAAAATAAGTAATAATAAAGATCAGATATAGCCACGTTATGTGAAACAGGATCAAATACACACACTACAATATATACAGTATATATAACGTTACATATATATATATATATGCAGTATATATATATACATATATAGAGAGTGTAACTTTGGTGCATTGTTTTTGTTTTCGGGTTAAAAACAGGTGATTTTAACCACTTCATATTTGCCAGAATAAAATGCTATGCAGAAATAAAGGCTGCAGCATTTTGATAAAAAAACGCAAAAAATACTTTTTTTTTTTAAATTTCATGCTGTATGTTATAAGTGCTCTAAACACTTCATATAGTATTTAATAATGATGTGTTTTCGCCACTGTCAGTCAGGCAGTATGCTAAGCGTCCTAAATATCCCCTCGGCCTTTTCTTCAGCAGCAGCGTTTTGGAAACACAGTTCGTAATCTGTTTATTTCTGCACAATTTGGGGAAAATCCGCCTCCGCAAGCGTCGAAAATGCTCGCCACAGTCCGCAGACAGCTTAGGAACCACCCAGCTGTAAGTACAACCCGGTTATATCCAGTAAATGTTCATTTTGGAGTCTCTTTTCCAAACTTGGGTGTATCTGGGATTTTTGTTTTTGTGGCTTAACTTAGCTTAGCTCAACTAGTTAGCGTGGTTAGCTGACTTTGACCGCGCTGACTTTGAGAAATTGTGTTTTTAAAATAAAATGCAGACACGCCTCACCGATTGATTCCTTGTGTAGTCATTTATTGGTTTATGCACATTTCCCCAATATGCGCCAATACTTTAGGCATTTGATGCTTTGGAGTCAAACCAGGTCACGACTTTTACCCCACAAGACGATAGCACGCTGATTATTAGCCGAGGAAAAGAGGCTCAAAATAGCGACTGGTGCTACTAGTTTGCAAGGTAGCTGTTGGAGGATTGTTTACTTTCGTTTTTTGAAGCCACACAGTCATTTCTGTACAGCTTTGAAAAGTGGTGTCTGGAGGAAAGTTGTAAATGTGGCGAATAGTTGGTTTAAATGGGCTCAACTCAACACACGACAGCTGGGCAAGGGCAAGGAAATGCAGGCAGGGTGAACAGAGGTTGTGTTTAATGTTACCTCACAGTTGCATTTTGTAGTTAACAGTCAGTTTTATTGGTTTTATTTTGCCCTGACTGGTTGTGCAAGCTTTCTCAGTGTGTTACTTTATTGAGCTGTGGAAGTTTCAGAGTACGATATTCCTTTATTTTGTCCCACAATGGAGGAGAATCCAATGTTACAGCAGGCAAAGTGGATAGGAGACCATAAACAGTATAAAAACAGTAAGAGTAGGGGGAGAATACGCTGAGTCAACTATAATAAACAGTAAGAATCCCACAGGGAGCCAATACCGGGGTAACGAGACGGACTAGTAGCAGCAGTGTGCACAGTGGGCAATAGGGAGTGGGGCGTGCCGTGCACCGAGTGAAGGAAATGTTGCGACGGATGATGTGGAAAGGTGTGTGCGCTGTGAACTTAGCTGAGGATCCGTCACGGCGTGTCGTGTCACTTGCAGGGCTGATCCCTTTCGATGTTCATCGGTGGCAGGAGCAGCCATGTCCCTGATGTACCTGCGCCAGCGTCTGGGCTGGAGGAACTGCTCTGAGGGTGGGTCTGGGGTGGAGCCGAGCGCGCCCCCACTTCCGTCACGAAACGATCAGAGGAAGCGCGGATCCTGTGATGTCGTGTTATTCGGTACTGCTGCGAAGTGGGCTGGTGTGCAAAGGGTGGTATATGTGTCAGTGCCTAACGGGGAGGGGCAGAGGGGGGGGGGGAAGATAAAGAAGCTGACAGTTTTGCAGCTTAGTTTTTGTAAGTCTGCTACTACCTGCCTATGTCAAGTTACAGTCTGTTGATTTAATCTTTTAAAATGTTTCTCCTCTGCAGCTGGGATCGCAAGAACAACCCAGAGCCCTGGAACAAGATGGCCCCAACGGATCAGTACAAGGTGTCCCTCCGTCGTCTCTTAAAAAAAAAATCTTACTAAACTAATCACGCTGCGTTACAGTCTTGATTTTCAGTGCCGAGGAGTGTAGGTGGTTGTATTCAGGGATCGTAGTATGGATCTTTGCCAGACTTGTTGCTGAGCCGTGGATTATTCCTTCAGTTGGATTAATCAGATGACATAATCTGGTGAATGCTGACTTGTAGTAACAAATCTGATAAAGTCATTAACTGCGTACACTTACTCAAAAGTAACTGTCAGAAGACAAGAAAGCAAATTAATAAAGTGTTCATGTATGTATGTTAGTTAAATACAAGATTTAATACATCAGAATCTAAACCCTGAAACAAAGTTTAGGTCACCTGATTACTTTTTTTTTTATATGAAATGTCTCCATTTATCTCGTGCTAAGATTTTCTTTGTATTCTTAGTTCTATGCAGTCAACATGGACTACAGCAAGCTGAAGAAGCAGGGCCCTGATTTCTAAACATCACGTCTCCTGGACCAAAAGCACAAAGATGAGCTGATCCGCACAGCCCCATTTTGGAACTTCCTCCAGGAACCTAAGGGATTGCAGAGGCTAAATCCGCACAATGATTCATATTTAAGTTACCTCATTGCATCCCATTGGCATTTTAAAACCCTTGTCTCCAGTTTCTTATTTTCAATGGTTGTCAATAAAGTGAAGGAGGCTTTCCTCCTCCATACAGAGAAAATTACCCGTTTCATTTATTGTGATTTTGTTTATGGGCACTTTGTTTTCCATGTCATTTTTATTTCTGTTGTCACTTTTGATGCATATTTTGCATACACTTGTTTACATTTCCACTAAGACCTCCCACACTCTGTTTACAGTTATGTAATGCTTTGCTGTTACTATATGGGCTTTGCTTTCACCTCATTTCCCCTTTGTCCTACCTCAACCTCAGCTGCTGTTGCATTATGTGGCACACTATTCTTGGCTGCTATCCAGAGTGTTATCGGTATAGCGGGGGCAGACATTAACCTGGTCACATTTCAGCTGTGGGCTCCCTCTGGTGGCAGCTGTGGCAATCCAGTCGATGTGGTGATGAAACCTCATCAGTATTTAGTACAGTTTATGAGGCCTACAAGCTGCCCAGTGCCTGTGCTGCATACGTTTCCTTTAAGCTTTCAGAAGATGTTGCAATTACAGACTTTAAAGGGAACAGTGAGACTCTCCCCCGCAAAGGTTGACTTATGTTTGTTTAAAGCAATAACGTGTTCATGCGCTGTGGAACCGGGGCTCTGTGGTGGGACGTGCAGAGGTGTTTCTCCTTATAGAATGCCATCGCTCTCATCCAGATGAGTTTGTAAATGTCAACAGGTCGTGCTGTCCCATATGCAGCACGGAAAAATGCGACAAGGATGAGCAGCCAACGCAGTGCAGAAAATGTCAAGGAGACCTTCATATTTGAATAGAAGCCCACGTCTAGATCTTCACCCACCCTCTCCAGTGCTGGAGCCTTTTCTATTTTTTTCCCACCGGGGAAAACGAAAATGAACTCCTGGCACAACGTAACAATGCTTCATTTTGGAACAACTTTTTTGTTTCAACGTGTTCACCTTGTTGACTAAGCACTCGGACCCAAAATAACCACTATTATTTCAATAATTCTTGAAAATGGCAATGACACAAAACTGTTTTTATTTTTCTGAGCTCATTGTCAGGTTTTCTTGAACCGAGTACATTACAATCACAGGTATACCCGATATAAATAAACAGTAAAATTGCTAAATGAAACATCTGCTTAGGAAAGTAAATGCATGCCAAGGTTTAACATTCAGGGTCTGTACACGATAAAAGAGCAACTGAAAATGCTTCTACAATTCAGGGATTTTCTAATCTTTCTACACCTTTCAAGCTAATGTTATGCATCAGTGATTTTGTAACTCAATATTTCTACATCTGAAGAATAAAATCCATTAAAATTTAAATATTTTCGTTGTCATGACTGTTTAAAATCAACAAGCCAAAACAACTCAGAGAGTGGTTTGTGAGCTAAATGCTAACGTCAGCATGTTAATATGTTTTAGCAGGTACATGCATGTTAATATTTGCTGGAGTTGATGGGAGTGCCTTTAGTTCAGCAAGTATTTAGTCACAAACCAAAAATGAAATGTTACCCCTATGATAGCAATAAATGAAGACTTAAAGGGATAGTTTGTCCTAAAATCAAAAACCTATTTTTCCTCTTGTCTGTAGTACTATTTATCTATGTAGATTGTTTTGGTGTGAGTTGCTGAAATATGGAGATAAAATTTAGACAAATTTCCCTCCGGGGATCAATAAAGTACTGTCCCTTTAAGGAATCACCAAGAGTCCATCCCGTAGTCATCAAGACATTTCAGTCAAAACCACTAATGTTAATTATGGTAGGGCTGAAGCTAACCCTTAAAGGATCACCAAAGTGAGTTGGACTGCTCCTCTGGGGACCGTAAATGTCTGTAGAAAATTATTTGTCAATCCATCAAATCTAATAGCCTGTTGTTGGCATGTTTCAGTCTGGACCACCGTGGTGGTTGCAAGCATGGCTTGAGATTTTATAAACCACACATCAAAATGAATTGTTTTAGTAGACAGTTTACCGACCATTTGCTTTTACATTTGGCCTGAGAGATATTGATTTAGGACAATCTTTATAATGCAGTTACATAGAAAATTGATTTTGGTTACATGTTTAGTGTTTGGTTGCCTGATGTTAAAGCTCTGTAGTCTCTGCCAGTCCATTACTTCTGGCTGAGGAGCTTTCCTAATCACCAAACCAGATAACAGTCAGCACCAAGGGTCATCTTTTGACAGACAGCCGCAGGGTTCAGAGTTCAAATGGCTTCATGCCTGTGAATTCTCTGAGGGACGCTGGCTGAACACAACTGTAGAGCCAATCTGACCTGCATCTTTACCTTCCTCCTGCTGACCCCTGACCCCTCTGTTGAATCCAGCCCTTTTCTGCTACACTGCAAAGGTAACATTGAAAAAATAATGAGGGAAAATAATGTGAGGTGAGGCGCAAGGCGGTTGCTGCAGGAGCAAATTATCTTCTAAAGGTCATGCCAAAGGTCAGGCAGTCCAGAAACGGGGAGTAAAGAGAATTCTGCACCATTCATACCAACAAAGTCCTTACCAAAGCATCTTCATAGAGCCTGTTTCAAAGACTGTGCAAGGGAAGGAGTGCTTAATAAACTTCATATAGGCTACTTATGTCATCTTACACCCACATACATGCACAGATGCCTTGAATGCTTAGAAATATTGTTCCCTTGAACAAAAAAAGCACATTATTTAGTTTGAATTCAAGGTGTTTTACTGTGTTTGCCATGCATAATATGGCAGCTGGGATTTTCTGTTTTATGAAATGAGCATAAAAATGTACATAAAGCTTATGCAACGTTGACGAAGTACAGTCTGTCAGCAGCAGCTAGAGTCCTGTGTTATCTTTTCAAGTATTTTTATCTTTAGTATTTTGCAGGGGATTATGTAGAAATACAGATGACATTTAGCTGGCTGAAATTACTGCTTTTTCTTTATCATTTATGAAACCATCACCGCCAAGAAAAAAATCCACAGCGTTTTTTCTTTCTTTGGCAGCTTTTTTCCCCACAGAGGTGATATTACTGAGTTCATGCTTATGTTAACAACAAGTTGTGAAGACAAACTCAAAGTACGCATACAACAAACATGAACATCATTCATTTAGAGTAATGTTTCTGGCCACCTGGTTTATGTAGTCAAATATTCAGGCTCTTTAGCAACTAAATGCTCCACTCATTATCAGAATATAATAATGCTTCTGACTGAAAAGTGAGGCCAATTTGAAGTTCCTTAAATCTGCATTCCTTATAATGACCAGCAGGGGGAGACTCCGTTGGTTTCAAAAAGAAGTCCAATTGCATGGACTGTAATGGTAAAATTACCCTCACTTGATTTATTACGAGTGAACTATATTCTAATGAGTTTATGGCCCCATTTGCCAGTTTCCCGTCTTCTTCCATACAGCATGATGTTCATTTTGTAAATTTTGGTCCCATTTAGAGTTGAATTGATTGCGTGGCTACCTTGTGATTGACAAATCATTCTCAGTGTGTCCTTCCAGCGCAACACACCAGGTTCATGAAGCTCAGCTCAAAAGATCAAATTAGGCAGTGCTGATCAAATATTGATCAATATTCTATTACTGCATTCCCCATTTCTCATCTCAGATAAACATTTGTGTACTGTTTAGCGTGGGTAGAGCTGAATGAAGCCTGGTTAATGCAAACAGCCACCTGTGACTGCACCCACTTATCACTAAAAACAGCCATTCCCTTAATTATGCATAACTTTAAGCCTTCCTATAATTTAAATGGGTAAGTTATATAAAAATTCACCCCCTGTACAGTTACCATGAATGGGAAAATTATCTATAGAGACCGAAACTAGGTTGTACACATGTTTATTTGTGCTGTAAAGTTGGGCATTTTAATATGGGGCCTTACGGAGATAGACTTACTTCTAAGTGCACAGTGGGTTTAGCTCTCTAGTATTGCTGTAATCTGGTCATTAATTGCAATGTTTATTAGTGCTGCTTTAAAGGTGATAAAATTAATTAATCAGTTCTCTTTTTAAATCTTTAGTTTCTTATATATAAAGTCTTAATTATGAACTTCATAAATTAAATGTTTAATTGTTTTAATCAACCACTAGGGAGCTCTAAATGTCTTTCATCTAACTGCAAATTAAATTTTTTGCCAAATATTCAATGAGTACATCATTCAAATTTCAGTCCATCTCATTTTAATCTATCCCTCATTGATGAAAAGAGAGTTGTGTCTCCTACAAACATTTAAATAAATGCTTTTGCCCTAACTGGAGAAATGAAATCATATGTAGAAGCTCCTCCTCCTCTCCCCTTCACAGCTCCTCTTGTCACAAAACATTATATCTTGTCTATATTTATATCTTTAGAACTTGTTTTTACTTTATACACTTTATATTTGCAGATGATAAACTTTCTTTAACATGTGCTGTCTCAAATGGCCACAAAATAACCTTCTTCAATTTATTATTTTCTACCGATATTTCACACTGAACGACAGAGAGACGAAACAAAACCAGTATTCTGAACCCGAGAGAAAAAAACACACAGTGATAGCTTTCATCCACTTTTATCTCTGTCAATAGCGCCTCTGTAATGCCTTAGTTACCTCTCAATTACCTCTCTATTTCACTCAGTCAGACACATACACAGACATACACGCTCACAGATGCATTACTGAAGGAATAAACTGCTTTCCCTCCCCTGCTGTGAGCTGTGTTGAGTAATGAGTGAAAGCATTTCTCCTTCTGATTCTCGCCGAGAGGGTGCCTCTCATTTTTTTGCCATTTGGTGTTCAACTCAGAGCTGCTCTCCACTCGTTCTTGCTGTGTTTCACCCCTGCTTCGTCCTTTGTTTTTCTCCCTTCTGTCTTCCTCACTCCTCCTTTTTTCAAGAGTTTTATTTTGATGAAGCCCAGTTATGGACACACACTCATACACAGCCAACAGAGAGAGAGAGAGAGAGAGAGAGAGAGAGAGACAGAGAGACAGAGAGAGAGAGAGAGAGAGAGAGACAGAGAGAGAGACAGAGAGAGAGAGAGAGAGAGACAGAGAGAGAG